CATGGTGGAGGTATTATTATGGTTCGGGCATGCATGGTCACATCTGTTACTGGCTCACACATTTTTATTGATGATGCAACTAATGATAGCAGTAGAATGATTTCTGAAATATACTGTACAGGAACATGCTTATGGATATTTGCTAAAGCAATTTTCTGAGGAAAATAAAATGCTTCCTTAAGTTTTGGGTAGAGCCTCACAATGCAGCATTGCCAAAGCCAACAACAATCATCAGGAGAAAAAAAATGGTAAAGATGAGGCTGGCAAAGTCCATCTCCAGATTTAAATCTAATTGAGCATGCGTTTTGCATTCTGAAAAACACTGAAGTCAGAACTCCCCAAGAAAAGGGAAGAACTCAAAATGATTGTGATGAGCTCGGTGGATCACACTTATTGCTTCATGGGAATATGATACCAAATTCTGACTTCTACATTCTGAAATTTACTTAAAGTGAAAGTGTCCCCTCCCACCACCGTGTGTTGAATCAAGTGCTTAGAAAATGGATGGATGGTTGGACTGGTGGAAGATGTTCCATTACAATTGAAATCAGTGTGTAGAACACAAAATATGTTTTTGTTCCAGTATGATCAAATCTGTAGGGGAATTACTCCCAAAGCAGAAAGTACATTTGTATTGTACTTCATTCATGATACTGCTTTGATGACACGTACAAATTGCTTGACCGTAAAGCAGAAATAATTTTTGACTTTGTTGTCCAAATACTTTTGTAGGGCACTGTCCATGCAATCAAAAACAATGTTTCTTTTTTTGAACCGTGACCAATGCTACGTTTTTATTTAACTCCTGGTGTAGATATAGTAAGTTGATTTCTGTCTGAATGGTCTAATGGGTTGTTGGTTTGCCACTGTTGTTTTGGCTCTGTAGACAAAGCTCTGCGACTGTCACCTTTTTGCTTTGGAAAGTAATAAATAAGAAAACAAATCGAGCCTCATCTTAGGGGGCTGTTTTGTTTGTAAATTGTAAGAAATTTGTAAAGCCAATAACTGCAAATGGAGTTTGTATGAAGGTTTTGGGAGGAACGAGGCAACCAGATTCCCCTTCACCTTTGCTGCTCCTACTTGTCATCCTCTGTGACATCACTTCCAAAAATGCTATAAAAACCACCATAATCCTCTCTCCTCCTCACATTCATTTTCCTTTGCATCTCTCCTCCATCTCTTCTCCACCTCTGCAGCTGCTGCTTGGTTAATTATACTCTGCGGGGGGTCCCAGCCTCCTCGCTCTACTGCCGGGGGGCTTGCCCTCAGCCAAGTAGGTTAAGCCAAATCTCATTCTGCCTAACCTTTTAAATAAACATAATATCATTCATTTTCTGTTTTGCTATCATTGTTCCTCATGAAATAACAAAGAAGTCAAATAAACAATCATTGCATATTAAATGATTACATTTTAGAAACAAAAACATTTGAGTTGTGTTTTATTGTTATTGCTCATTAAACTAAGCTCAGAATGGCTTTAGATGTTTTAATGATATCATAACTTAAATATATTAATTATTTTTGACCACAAATAACCCTCTTCTGCTGTTGTACTTTCATTCAGTTTTCATTTTTCCATTTTGGCAAGTACAACATCAGCCTTGTGTTCTTTTAAGCCAAAAATATATA